AACTGTCGGCTTGGCAGTCGCCTCGTTTCAATTCTACATCTGGCGCCTGGTCAGATGTTTCACTAAGGAGCACCCTTTGGGAGGAGCCGTCTGAGTTTGATATCATAGCAGTCTTTTTTGTTCTGGCCATCACGTTCTGCATAGACACAGATACAGTCGGACTTTGTATAAAGGGCAAATATGGGTCCAGAAAAGGGCAGGCGGCACTCCTAGTCCTAGATTCAGCCGTCCCCGGTGACCGGCTGATCACTAACTTAGGTCGTGTCGTGTGCTTCCGTGGTGCCATTTCAAAAAATAAAAAGAAAGTTAAAGAGTAAGAGAACTGAGTTACCTGAACGAGTGACGGTTGATGAAGTTCTGGAAGTCCGGTGCAGTCGGCTTGTCAGAACAGGCGGTAGGCAGAAAAGGTCCGAAATGTCAGAGCAAGTTCAGGGGTCCGAATGTTCTCGCAAAGTTCTCAAATGTGAAAATGACCGAAGTCAGCACTTCCTTATATAGGCAAGGTGAGAAGGCGAAAGGTCGCTTCCAAATTCAAAATTTGGGCGGGAAAATCTCTCGGCCGTTTGCAAGGTGACACCTGTAACATGCCGTCGCCTGTCACCGTGCGACACCTGTCACAGGCGACACGTGACCAGTCACGTGCCACCTGTGAGGGGCAAATGATTAGGGGATTTTTGTCCACCAATCACCGTCTGACAAGTGGACCAACCAGGTTCCGCCACGTGTCCTTCACGAAGGCCAACAGGAGCCTGCCACGTGTCAATCACAGATACGTCCTCTACGGACCAATTTAGACACGCCACGTGTCCACCCATGCCAAATGGGAAAACCGGCCATCAAGGCCCAATCCAGTCTAGAGGCCCGATCAGCCCTAGGTTTACCTTAAACCTAGAGAGTGGCACGCTTCTCAAGGCTATAAATACTCAATTAATCCTCATTAATTGAGCGGTGAATCGAGAAATAAAGAAATCAAGCAGAGAAGAACAGAAATATTACGGAACACCAACAACCGGCTAATCTCGCTAACGACGCAGATTACCAACACTAAGCACTCTCACCTAGAGAGATCTTATTACTTTAATTTCCGTATTAATTACTCCTTAATCAGGTACTAACTTGACCGTTGGAGGCGGAGCTCTCAGGAGTCTCCGTTATTTTGCAGGTACAGGCGTCCGGTTCCAGTCTCGGAATTGTAACTCTCCCGCAGGACATCAGAAAACCCCGAAACACATACCATCAACTCCGGGTGCTTTGTTTGGGTGCATTTGATAAAGGGCGTCAAATATTTCCTCCGCCGATGGTTCATCGAGAAGGCATTGGTTCATCTCATCAGTAACAATTTGCTCAACGCCTGCTAATGCATCATCAAAATCTGTCGGGAAAGAAGAGGAAAAAATATTTGAAAATTAGTCAGTTATAATCCTCTTAATTTCGGTCTCATCATCCCGCATAATCCCATTTTCATCCTCCAACTGCCCAATGTGATTACGGCGGTGTCGATGACTTGCTTTGTGATGGAAGTAGGAAGTATTTCTGTCACCATCTTTCAGCTCATTTGCACGAGCTCTCGCATGCCAATAGGACTCCTCATATCTGTGCAACTCATTTAAATCAGCCACAATTCCCTTACATTTCTCCAACATCGTTGCATCGGCAACCCGTTTCTGCCACTCACCCAAGTCCTCTTCTTTTTCTTTTATTATCTGTTTAGTGCTCCCAAAAGAAGAAGCCGCCCACTCTGCCAATGAGGTACCACACTTAGAAATTCTTACACTCACAGCAAGCCCCGAACTCCCCTCCCATGCTGCCTTTACAACATCTTGGCACTCGGTTTTTGCCAACCACATGGCCTCAAAATGAAACTTTCTACCTCCTCTTCGACGCCTCAAAATTCCTTCAGTTTGTAACAAAATAGGGGCATGGTCCGATAAGTAAATAGGGAAATGCCGAACAGAAGAATTTGGGAATAAATTACACCAATCATCGCAGGCCAAAAATCTATCCAGTCTCTCCCGTACTACATTTTGCGGGTCATTCCCTCTTTGCCAAGTATACATATTCCCTCGATACCCCAAGTCATTCAAAGCACACACCTCGACAGCATCTCTAAATAAATCTATCTTCCTATCACTTCTCCTAACTCCTCCATACTTCTCTTCTTCACATAAGATCTCATTAAAATCCCCAAAGAAAATCATAGGAACCTGTATCGATTCCCTCAAGGACTTCATTAGCTCAAAGGTACGGAACTTATTCTCTCTTTCTGGCCAGCCATACATCCCCACTGCTGCATAAATAGGTGTATTATCAGAATTCCTTATCTCCACCGCAATATGATGAATGGAGTAAGAAACAATATGAGCATTCACATCCCTCCACCACAACCCCAATCCCCCCCGAGTTCCCATTACTACTCACACATAGCCCCGCATCAAAACCACATCTATTGCGAATACTCTCTAATCTACCACTATCAATCATAGATTCCATAACGAAAACAAAAGTTGGGCGCTCTCTCCAACACCATGATTGGAGTTTTTGAACTTTCCGGGTATTGCCCAATCCCCGGCAGTTCCAACTTAGCGTTTTCATTGTTGTTCGCGGGGTTGGTTGTCTCCAACACCCGCTACTGTATTCTCAGCCAATGGACAAGTCACACGAGCTCTTTTGTTGTTGTCATCTCCACTCAATAGATCACTTCCCAGGCTCTCCTTTCTCTTCCTGCCAACACCTTCACCTTCCCCCAAACACACCCTTCCTTTTTCATCTTTTTTCAGCTTCACACCTTTTTTCGCCAATCTTTTCCTACCCCCCTCCCCTGCTTCAAACACAAAGGAGGACGTAACATCCCCAAGAAGGATTTGGTTCTCTATCCCACTCCCATCATCATATCCCACCTCCATATCACTCCTCTCATTATTAAAGGATTCGATCATGTGCTCATTATCTAGCATCGAGTTCACTTGCTCTCCCTGCTCCTCCATGAAACCCGCCCCCCTCTCCCCCTCCTTACTCACACTCCCCCCATCTGTACCTTCCACACACACCGGCACCATCTCCTTCACATTCCCCTCTTCCTTCCCTCCACTCACTCCAGCCTTCTTGCTCACGAATAACACCTTCCTACGAGATTTCACCTCTTCAATTTCCTCAATTAATTTCTGTCTACCCTTTCTAGGAGTTGCCCTCAGGTTTAGGCTCCACCTCAACCCCTGATTCTGTTCCTCCTCTGATACGTTAAGGCAATCTTTCTCGCTATGTCCCATCACTCCACACAGTAAGCAGAAAAACGGCAAACGTTCATACTTGATCCCTATTCGACAGACCTTTCCATCCCTTCCTTTCATATTCAAGAAACGACGCAAAGGTTTAGTGACATCCAAGTTCAATTTCACCCTTCTATATTTATCAAGTCCTAAATCATCGTCCTCCACCTCTAGCAATTCGCCCAAAGACGCAGTGAGCGCAGCGACAACAGCATTAGAACGCTTATTAAAGGGAACTGATCCAAAACGGAGAATGAGTCAGCACCACCTCCGTCGGTTGTTCATCCCCTTCGACCTCCTTCAATAGCAACAGGTTATTCTCAAAGCACCAGGGGCGCCCTTCGAGCACCTTCTCCTTGTCTTTCCAATGAAAGAATTGGAATGCAAACAAGTTAACCCCAATTACCCTAATTACCATTCTCTTAGAGACTGCCCACACATGAATCATAGTCTTTTTGAAAGCCTCTAGATTAATCGTCCGATCCGAGATTAATTTCCCCACCAGCATTAGGGAAACTCGATCTTCCGATTCACTATCATTAACATCGCCTATGTCCACTATCTCGTTCTCCAAATCATTAATTCGTTTATCAGATCGTCGGCCATGATTGACCGAAGCCGTGCCCTTCTTTCGAGGAAGCGCTCGCCTTTCTCTCGAGGTAGTTCTCGCCCTTTCTTTCGAGGGAGTATTCAACATGTAATTAATTATTGTAATTAATCCACTGTTACTCTATTATTAATTTAATGATGATGTCTCTATAAATGTCCATCACTTTAAAGCATTTTGTAGCAACATTTTGGACAACAAAAAGAAACGCGGAAATAGAAATTTGAACCTTAAAGATTCTTTCTTCTCGTCTTCTACTTTTGACTTTTCACGCCCAATTCTTCATTTTTGAATTATCTTTTGCCTTGTATTATAATGTCTGTTTTATTATTGGACTCTATTAGGTTTATCTGATTTACTCAAGTTCTCTTAACGTTCAAATAAAAAATGAAAAACGAAATTATATTATGTGATGGAGTGAATATCAATTATCATATGGAGTATGATATCACTTTTCAACGATATTTTCTATCTATAATTCTTACATTCATACCTAAAGGACATTTAATTTGAAAAACACTAATGTAATATAATAGCAATCCATCCATCTGTTTGTTCGTCTCATTTATCTTTTTTTGTACAATTATCAATACATATTTTGAAAAAGATATATTATGGAGGAGTAAAGTATAAAGTCACTCCCTAAACTTAGGCATTTGTTGCAAATCACTCACTAAACTTTCAAAAGTTGCATTTTACTCACTATGCTGGTCACCGGAGGTAAACTTTTCGTTTGTTACCTGTTGCTCCAGGTAAAGACAGGTAACTCCCTAAACTTTTTATTAAAATTAAATTTTTTACTTTGGTAAAATCTAATCAAAACTGAACAGCCAATGGAAGGGCTCCTTAATAAACGAGATGCCATCATTACCTGTCACAATACTCAATGAGCGGGAAAGCCAAAAGCCTTTATAACTAAGGTTTGGACAGAAGCTTTCTCACTTCCTTTATTCGCCTAAAAACAGAGCTTCGGGAATGACAAGGACAGAGTTGGGGCCAGGTGTAAGCATCATGAGAAAGGTTGCCCTTGGAAGATCTGGGCCTCCTGGGATCAAGGCAAAAATTATTTTAAAGTTAAAACTCACATAGGTAAGCACACATGTGGTAGGTCAGCAAAGGTAAAGAGAATGAATGCAACTTGGATTGCCAACACATATGCCAACAAGTTCAGGGTCAATCCTTACATGAAACTTCATGACATAGTGCAGACAATATGGTTGGAAAGGGGAATAAGGGTGACCAATTTCATTGCTTACAGGGCAAGGAAGAAGGGCCAGGCCCTGATAGTTGGTGAGTATGAGGAGCAGTATGGTCTTCTCCCAAGATATGCTGCTGAAATACTGAAGTCAAACAGGGCAAACACAGTCAAGATGCAATTGAATGCTAATATTTTCCAAAGATTGTACTTATGTTTTGATGCCTTAAAGAAGGGATTTTTAGCTGGTTGTAGGCCCTTCATATCATTAGATGGTTGCTTTTTGAAAGGACCATTTGGGGGGCAGCTTTTGGTAGCTGTAGGGAGAGATGGGAACAACCAAATGTTCCCAATAGCATGGGCTGTTGTGGAGGTGGAGAGTACAGACAGTTGGACTTGGTTTCTGAGTTTGCTAGGTGATGATTTAGGGACTGTGCAAGGGGCTGGCTACACATTCATGAGTGACCAGCAAAAGGGGTTGCTTGCTGCAGTTGATGTAGTGTTCCCAGAAGCAGAGACCAGGGTGTGTGCTAGGCATGTTTATTACAATTTCAGGGGTGTGTTTGGGGGTAGTCTTGAATTTAGCAGTTCTGGATTATTTCTAAGAGTTCAACAGAAAATTACTTTAATGCAAATATGGATGCCATGAGGCAGATATCAGAGGATGCAGCAGATGATTTGATGAGTAGAAACTACATGAAATGGTGTAGGGCCTTTTACATCACTGTCTCATGTTGTGAATCTGTGGACAACAACATGAGTGAGGTATTTAATGCCTATATTTTGAACTCAAGGCATAAGCCTATTATAACTATGTTGGAAGACATAAGAGAAAGTTTGATGGAAAGGTTACATACAAAAAGGGATGAAATTGGAAAAAAAGATGTGGTGCTATGCCCTAGGATTCAGCAACAATTGGAGAAGAACAAGGTTTGGGCAAGAGGGTGGAATGTCTTTTGGGATGGGGGGTTTACTTATGGAGTTAGGAGAGGGGCAACCCAAACAAAATTTGTAGTAAACTTGCAAGATAGAACTTGCAGCTGTAGGACTTGGCAAGTCAGTGGTATACCTTGCAAACATGCAATTGTTGCAATCTGGAACAAGGTGGATGAACCTGAAAACTATGTCAATGATTACTTCAAAAAAACCACCTATATGAAAGCCTATGATTTTTTACTTGAACCTCTTAATGGTCCACAAGAGTGGCCAAGGTCTGATGATGTAGTGCTCCCACCCAAAGTGAAAAAAGTCCAGCACAGACCTCAGGTGAAGAGGAGATTACACCAGGGGGAGGTCACAACAACAGGGAAACTAAGGAAGAAAGGAGTTACCATGCACTGCAGCCTTCGTGGGATGCCAGGACATAATAAATAAGGGTGCAAGAATGTGTCTGAAGGTAGTCCTACCCACAACAAGGGTCAGTCCAACACTGCACAGCAACCTGATAACATTCAGCAGCCACAAATGCAGGGCCATGGTGCAGGACAAAATCCTATTCCCATGCACATGAGAGGGATTGGATTATATACCTACCCTAATGGCTTTCAAAGATTGTCAACAGTAAGTTATTTCAATTTAATCAAATTATAAGTCATATTATCCTATACTGTAATTCTAATGTCAATAATAAAAAAAAAATGTGTAGCCTGTTCAGAGAGCTTACTACAGAGACAATGGGGGTGGTGAGCAGACAGTGTACTCTGTCAGCCAAGATGAGTATCCATTGTCCAGCCAGCCTTCTCACAATCAAAAGACAATATCAAGCCAAACATTGTAGGTAATTTTATATATCATCTGTAAATTGAAACAACCTTAGTATTCATTTGATTTATTTAAATTTTCATTTAACAGAACATGGCAAGGGAAAGGAGGCATGACAAGCACTAGGAACATCCCTAAGGTACATTCCCTATCACTAACTTATATATTATCATCTAAATAAAAACCAAGTTACAACAACAATTAAAAACAAAATAAGCTTCCACAGCTCACAATTGAAGCCCAAATTAAAGCCTGCTGCCCTTTTATACTTCAGCATCAAATATTCACCCTCAACCTTCCTTAATTTCTTGTTGGCTCCTTTCATATCATGCCTAATGCTCATAAGCTCAGTTTTCAGATCCTGCTTCTCCTCCACTAATCCCAAAATCACATCAATCTGCCATGATGTGGGATCTTCACCATCAACCCATCTAAAATACTTGCAACCCCTCCTTTCAGTTTCAGCATCATAGTCAGGGCATGCATAAAACCTTCTACTAGGATTATCTTTAGTCCAAGCCCTACTCTTCGACACTAACAAACCACAATGACACCTCCTTCCCCTGGACTCACTCCAGAACTATTCCTAGACATATTGCAGAATTAATATTTTTGAGAGGGTTAATTTTATTTTATTTTTATGAATTTTGTTGCAGATTTGAAGTGCAGAAGTTATGGATGTTGTGGTGTTTATATAGAGCTTCCGTACTTTGTTTTTGATCAAACAGTATTGTATAACGGCTATTTTTTTTGGAAGCAAAATAACAGATTTCTAAACATAGTTTAGGGAGTTCCTGCATTTATATCAGAAAGTTTAAGGAGTTGTCATAAAGTTTAGGGAGCTCATGGAATTTACCTGTTACTGAAGGTCACAACTCAGGTGAGTGAGTGAAATGCAACTTTTGAAAGTTCAGTAAGTGATCTGCAACTTTGGCCTAAGTTTAGGGAGTGACTTTATACTTTACTCTATTATGAAGTAGTATATTTTCAGCTACATGTTTATAAATTTATAAAAATTGATATATTAATTTGTTTATTAAAGATGTTTCAATATACTTCGTATTATTTTATACATGAGATATATATTACTCATAGTTTGGCCTCCTAATAATAAATTTCTAGTTCTGCCACTGTTCATCTATTTTATACTGAATGTACATAAATTATAACTAAGGATTTTTTTTTGTGAAAAACTACCTTTTAAACTCCTGATTTTGCGAAAAACTACCTTAAAAACAAAATGTTGTAATTAACTACCTTATAAAATATAAAACGTTGTAATTGCCTACCTTCTACCGAAATGACACATTTGACTTTTATTTCCTGACGTTGACCATGTCACGTGAGGGTCACGTGACCCTTTAATGACTTAATTCCCCAAATTTTCCCAAATTTTCCTGCTTTACACCAATTCAGCCCATATAATTATCAAAGGGGTTTTAAATAAACAATATAAAATATGAATAATCGTATTGTTAAGGAAAATAGTTGGTATAAAGTGGGAAAATTTGGGAGAAAGGGGGAAATTAAGTCATTAAAGGGTCATGTGACCCTCACATGACATGGTCAACACCGGAAAATAAAAATCAAATGTGTTATTTCGGTGGGAGGTAGTCAATTACAACATTTTATAATTTATAAGGTAGTTAATTACAACATTTTATACTTTATAAGGTAGTTAATTACAACATTTTGTTTTTAGGGTAGTTTTTCTCAAAATTTAAAGTTTAAAAGGTAGTTTTTCACAAAATATCCTATAACTAAATATTAACTTAGGGCATGTTCTCTTCCGTTGAAATTCAGTTCAGTTCAGTTCAGTTAGTTCAATATTAACAATAATAATAATAATAATAATAATAATAATCAATAAGTAATAAATAATAATGATAGTAATCATCAATAAATAATAATAATAATAATAATAACAATAATAATTGAAATAATAATACTAATAATAATAATCAATAAATAATAATAATAATCATCAATAAATAATAATAATAATAATAATAATAATAATAATAATACTAATAATAATAATCAATAAATAATAATAATAATAATCAATAATTAATAATATGTACATTTGTATATACACATATGTATAGTAATAAATAATCAATAAATAATCAAAGATCACTAATCCATAGTTAAAAATCACTAATTAATAAGTTCAGTTCAGTTCAGCTGAGTTCAGTCAATCGGAACAGGCCCTTAAAAGGAAGCTAGGGTTATTCGGTTATACCTAGTAAATGATTTTAGATCTTCGAAATTATCATTTCCAATAACTTTATTGGCTTAACCTAAAAGGCAACGAAGATTATACAGAGCAGATGATTTTGTTCTTTTGTAATGCGATGAATTTTTGATTTGACACTAGTCAAATTAAACCAGTCACTGCTCCGTGCTCACGAAGAATTAAGTGAAATAGTCATCTTAATTTGTCCATGGTTGCTTGTGATTTTTAAGTTAGATTTGTTTTGAAGTACTTATTCCGTTTTTATTAAGTGTAAACCTTGAAGTATATATATTTTTGTAAATTAATTACTTTAATTTAAAATGATTTGAACGTACATGAGATAGTTCAGGAAAATTAGTAAGTATAAGAACGGAAAAGTGGAGTTAAACTATGACCATACACATGTCACGCACGAGAGACTATGTATGGACATCATTTTTAAAAATTTCCATGAACTAGACACGAACATGACTAGTTGGTTCAATATTGACTTAGCTTATCTTTTACCAAAATATTGTTTATCGTAAAATAATTAAGGGGTCCCTTGATCGTTGGTACGACACTACAATGCATGCATGAGCATCATTTTTGAAAATTTTCCATAAACCTAACACAACACAACTATTTTTGGCTCATCAATTGAACACGAGTCACACTAGTACGACATGACCAATGGCCTTCTGTATACTACATGTTTTTAGAAATGGAGGATTCCAACATAAGGTCTAAGAAATTAAATTACTCTATTTAATTTCAATTAAAGGAAATTAATATGAATTACAAATGTTGATGACCTCATACCTAAATACGCAGACACGCAGTAGTCCATAATACTTATGCTCCTTGACCATATAATAATGTAAAACATCCCTTTCATATTTGTTTATTATTCTTAAATCATGTATGTTTTTACCTTATTAAGTTAGACAATTAAAGGTTGGTAAAGAACTATATGCTTATTAAGACATGATTAGGCTTTATTAAACAACATGGGAGCACCAATAATACTAAACAATTCGATCTCCAACGTTGTCATGAATATAAAGTATAGCAATCATTCTAATCTATAGTAATCCATACTTATTTAATTTAATTAAACCATACTTATTTATGATACAGTATAAAACATATTCCTGGACCTCAACCATCAGTTTAAGGAATATGTTTTATACTCTATTAAAAGCTGATGGTTGAGGTCCAGATATATGTTTTATACTCTATCAATTTAATTAATCTATATTAATCCATAATTATTACTATTATTAATAATTAAATGAAAAGTGAATGATAAAACCACACTATTTCTTAGTCAAAAACCTCCTTCCTCTCTCTCCTTAGCTCCCCCTACACCATTTTTTCTCCCTCTCTCATAAAAACTCATTTCTTCCAAAAAAAAAACTCATTTCTTCCAATATTTTCTTCTTCTAGTTTTTTGTAAAGGTTTTCTTCGAAAGTTCATGTGTATTTCCTTGTGCACTTCATCAAATCCTAGTGTTATTAACAACCCGTTTTTTGTACTATAAATTTGTCATTCATTCCAAACTTGCCTTACCAAAAAATTATTTGTTACTCCATTAAACAAGAATTAGTTTTCGAGTTTACGAAAACTAAAGAGTACATACGTACGTGGTGATTTGATTTACTTGAGATGGAGAAAATGAAGGGTTGTGTTGATGATAGAAAGACTCACTTGATGAATGAGCTACTTCAAGGAATGGAATTCGCAAAGCAATTGCGAAACCAAATTTTGAACCCAACAAATCCATGTTTACCATCATCTTCATCAAGTGTTGATAATCAAGTAGCCCTTAATAAATCGTTACTTGAACAAATGTTATCATCATTTGATAAAACCATTACAATTGCCAAGATGCTTAGCATCCAAATCCCACAAAATACCTCCAATGTCATTTCTTATCCTAATCATGATCAAACCTGTTCTTCTGAATCCCCGAATTCTTTGAACTTTAGTAGCCCAAAAAGTGTACATTTTTACAATAATGATACCTCTCCTTCTAAGTCTAAGAAAAGGTAACATAATTGTTCGTTATTATGTGAAATATCACTTCGTAATATATAATTGTTTTGGTCCAATTTATCTAATTGGGCCTAGTCATTTATTTGGGTCCAATTATCTTATTGGGCCTGGTCACTAAATGATTCAATATTCCAAGGTCAAGGCCCAAGCCTCCAATCAAGCCAAGTCAACCAAGAGTCCTTTGGTCCGAATTGCCATAGTCAGCCCATGACTATTCAAGGGCCCAATTACTCTCCTCTCCTCATATGCAAAGGTATATAAGCCTTCAATTCATTCATTTATGACATATACACACAAAAGCCTCAAGCACTAAATCTCTTACATAGCTTTCTCTCTCTGAACACTGTTTGACTTCGGCATCAGAGGGGTCTTCCTCGGATCCACCCCCGAGGCCAGTTTACGTGTTTTAGTTGTGCAGGAAACCTTCGGACCAACATCAATTGGACCGAACCAGTCTTCAGCCACTTCAGTGGGCCTTCGGCAAGGCCCCATTGTTTTCATCCGAAACAATTTGGCGCCGTCTGTGGGGAAGACTTTCAAAAATCTTTAAGCCAAATCTTTAATAAAAATCATCTTGCAATCATCTTAGTAGCAATGGCTAAGAACCGCAAGAGCAAAAGCCTCCGTCAAGGAGCAGGCGAAAGGCCCAAAACTCCTACACCATCACCCTCACCAGACCGGAACTCTCCCAAGGGTGCCAGTTCAAGGGGAGGATCGTACAGGGAGGATTCCTTTTCTC